ACGCTCGCGACCCCCCAGGTAGACCAAAGTTCATGGCTCTGGAGAGTTCAAGAAAGCGGGTTCCCTCCTCAGACAGGCTGGCAGGGCTTTTAGGCCAAAGCCCTCAAAGGGCCTTCAAGCCAGCAAATCTGTATGCAAATTCCAGTAATTAAGGACTATCTAGCTATGACTATTAAGGGAGCTGCGGAGATTTATGAAGATTTCATTACAGTGTTGCTTATAAGCTGCAGAATTTGGAAACTATTCATGTCCATTCACAGCAGTTAACTACAATTCAGCCATACACTCGAGTCCTATTGCAGAAGAATATAGAAAGATACTGACAAAAAATAATAATAATAAAATAAAAAATAAAAATAAAAAAGATACTGACAGGGAACCCTGTCAATGACATATTATCTAACAAAAATTGCAAATTACAGAGTAATATAAACTGTGTGGTAATATAAACTATATGTGTGTCTACACACACACACATACACACACACATTTGCATCTGCAAGGACACTGCAAAATGTTCATAGAGTTTATCTGAACCCTAAGTGGTCCTACTATAGATCGTTTTTACTTTCTTTTTTTGCTTCTATCTTACAAATGTTGAGTGCCTGCTAGGTGTCAAGCACCATGCTGGTGTTACATACACAGTGGTGAATGAAGTATATTCACTCTCGGCCTCATGGATGTCAGCAGTTAAATTAATCGCAGTAGAGTGACAAACTAGCACGTGCAGAGAAAGAAATACAGGAAGTTCTGCAATGAAGAGGGTCAGGCAATGACATACGTGGATCCCGTGGTCAGAGAAGAACTCTGACATTTGACAAGACCATGAAGGCTGAAAGCAGACCGACTCAGGAAGGGTGGAGGGAGGACACGTGCCCATGTGCAAAGACTCCAAGAAGCAGGACACTCTAGGGGAATGTGGCCAGTGTGGATGGAGCGTGAGGACTTGTTTTCAGAACTGGCAGGACAAGATGGAGGAGCCCTTGTGCAGGGCAATGGTGCGGCCGGTGGCGGATCTTTCTGCGATGTCACCTACAGCCCAGAGGTCTGTGCAAACTCTCCCCATGTGGGCCCAGAGACCGGACCAAGCAGGCAGGCCGCTCCTGAGGACAATTCCCATTAACAGCCAGCATTTACCCGAATGGGGTGTGTGTGTGCGTGTGTGTGTGTGTGGTGGTTTTTGCTTGTGTTTTTAAACCAAGTTACTCTCACTCAGCTCCTGGGAGAAGTCACAGAGCATTGCAGAGTAGAGGCTCACTGTCACATCAGCTTTCTAGGAAGTGTGTTGACAGAGCGAATCATGACGGCTAGGAAGGACGCAAATCACTCTTACCAGACTTCTATGTATTAGGGAGGAGGCGTTTCTGTTCAGCCACATTATATAGGTCCCCAACCTTTTTGGCATCAGGGACCGGTTTCGTGGAAGACAGTTTTTCCAGGGATGGGAAGGGGCAACAGTTTCAGGATGATTCAAGCGCATAACACTGATTGTGCACTTTGCTTCCATTACTATTACATTGTCATATACAAGGAAATAATGACACAGCTCACCACTAAAAAAGAGGTGTGGATAGAAGTGGTAAATAAAGCAACGGGCAGACCACACGCAGACTAAGGGGTCGGACTCTGACGTAAAGCCTGCCACCAGATGCAGCTGCACAGTTGAAGCACGACGACCACTTGCTTCTCCCTGACAGGGTTTTGATACGCGTCTGCAAGCAGCTGATCTATCGTGGTCTCTGTGCAGTCGAACCTCACTGCTCGTGTTCATCTGTATCTGCGGCCGCTCCCCAGCGCTGGCATCACCGCCTCAGCTCCACCTCGGATCATCAGGCATTCGATTCTCATAAGGAGTGTGCAGCCTAGATCCCTTGCATGCGCCGTTCGCAATAGGGTTCGCGCTCCTGTGAGACTTCAATGCAGCCACTGATCTGACAGGAGGCATGGCTCAGGTGTTCGTGCGAGCCACAGGGTGCAGCTGTGAACACAGATGAAGCTTTGCTCTCTGCTTACCTCCTGCTGTGAGGCCCAGTTCCTAACAGGCCACAGAACTGGACAGGCCGTGGCCCAGGGTTTGGGGATCCCTGTACTAAAGGTTAAAAATTTGTTTTTCTTTATCAAAAAATAGAAACAACTTTACCTGATTATTCAAATAGACTATAATATTTTCTTGGGGGATAATAGCCAATTTCTAACATTTTCTGGGGTGGGGAGAATAAAACAGATCTCTTTTTTCCCCCCAAATCCCCTTTCAAACCCTTCCAGATGAACTGTCACCCTGAGTGAGAGTCCCTATAGAATTTTTAAGTACAATATAAGGCCTTGAACTTGATAAGAAAAATATAAAGATGCTTTGGGGGCCACAGGATGGCTCCAGCTGAAAGTCCGTTTCCAAATCAAGCAAACTCGTCTTGAACTCCTGGCCTTAAGCAATCCTCCAGCCATGACCTCCCAAAGCGCTAGGATTACACGCCTGAGTCACTGCGCTCCCAAATCAAGCAAATTGTCAACCCATTTGCCCACTGTCTTCTGAGTTCTGGGCCAGGGGCCAGTGCTCAGAAGGTGCAGCAGGAAGGTGTGAGGGTGGATCTCCACACGAGGAGTGAAGGTTGATAGCAAGTGGTGCAGCCCCAGATGCGATCCCAACACGTCACCATCATGGCAGCACTCGAAAGAGGACACATCACTGGACAGATAGAAAACTGCAGCCAACTGCGTGACACAGCTTCAAGTGGACTCAAGCCCAGGTCTACCCGCCCCAGTCTGCTCCTCCGACCTCTGACCATCTGGTTAAGAATTAATCAAAGAAAGACAGGCATGGTGGCTCAAGCCTGTAGTCTTAGCCCTTTGGGAGGCACAGGCGAGAGGACTGCCTGAGCCCAGGGGTTCAAGAACAGCTTGGGTAACTTGGCAAGACCTCATCTCTACAATAAATCAAAAAATTAGCCAAGCATGGTGGCGCTTGCCTGTGGTTCCAGCTACTTGGAAAGCTGAGGTGGAAGGATCGCCGGAGCCCAGCAGGTCAACACTGGGGTGGTTGTGAGCGTGCCACTGCACTTCAGCCTGGTCAAAAGGGTGAGACTTGGACTCAAAAAAAAAAAATAGTGAATGGACGCTGAGGATAAGACAGCCTGCAGCCCTGCCCTCATAAACCTCACAGTCTAAGCTGGGCACATTGGCTCAAGTCTGTAATCTCAGCACTTTGGGAGGCAGAGGCGAGAGAACTGCCTGAGTCCCAGGGGTTCAAGACCAGCCTGGGCAGCTTGGTGAGACCTCGTCTCTACAATAAATAAAATAATTAGCCAGGTGTGGAAGTGTGCATCAGTAATTCTGGCTACTTGGAAGGCTGAGGCAGAAGGATCATCGGAGCCCTTCAAGTCGAGGCTGTGGTGGCCACGAGGGTGCCACTGCACTCCAGTCTGGGCGACAGAGTGAGACTCCAACTCAAAAAAAAAAACCGAAACATATAAAAAGAAAGTAGAAGTGTGAGGGACCCACTAACTAGTCCCACTCTCTTTGAGGGCTGCTTAGAAGGTGCCAAGAACTCCCCCACATAGCACCCAGACAGTAGCGGTGCTGGGCCTTGAGCCCAGGCTTGTCTGACCCAAGCCCCCACCTCATCCTCATCCTCAGAATGAATCAAAGGGCTGAAGCGGGCTGGGTGTGGTGACTCACACTATAATCCCAGCACTTTGGGAGGTAGAGGCAAGAAGATTGCCTGAGCCCACGGGTTCGAGACCAATCTGGGCAACGTGGTGAGATGTTGTCTTTACAATAAATCAAAAAATTAGTCAGGAATGGTGGCACGTGCCTGCAGTTCCAGCTACTTGGAAGGCTAAGGCGGAAGATCGCTGGAGCCCAGCAGATCAAGGCTGCGGTGGCCGGGAGTGTGCCACTACACTCCAGCCTGGGTGTCAGAGTGAGTTGCCTACTCAAAAAAAAAAAGGTCTAAAGGTTCAAAGCCACCCACAAGCCCCACTGACCGTGCACAACAGGATGCCTCTCTTCATCTTTTCGGATTGGAGAGAAGCCTGCATTTCTAACCCACACCATTAGGACCAAATTCAAGGACCCAGAGGGTTCCCTCAGCCTCTGGTGACGCCCTCCCATCCCCACCTTCTCATGGAGGGTGACAGCCTCCGGACAGCCTCAGAAACTCCTAACAACGCTGCCATGCTGAGGCTACTCGGTTCGAGTCCGCCCCCACCTTACATGGCGAGGACCCGGGCCTTGCCGCCTCCTGTCAGCCTGACGCCAGTTGGTAGCAGGAACAAAAAGCCAGTCAGGCCCCCTGGAGACATGGCATGAAAACTCAGCACGCGAGCCGAGTCCGATTGCTGTCACAGACCCTTTACTTTTTGGAAAAATGGGTCTTCCTCAGGCTCCTTTAAACAGACCTGATCTCCAGATGTGACACCCAGCCCGGAATGCCAAGTGTCCAGGACACAGGGAGGACACGCCTGTGCATCTGGACACCTGCCCACCAGCACCCTCAATCACACAAGACACACCCGTCCGGTGCACCGTGCAGAACCTGCCCTCATTGCTTCCTCCAGAACCACCTGCTTGCTCTGCTCCCAACACCTGACAGCCTAGAGCCTCCAAGATGGCCCTGACTACGATGGTCAGATGAGGTTAAACGTCAGCCTCGTTGACCAGACCCCAAAGGAGCACGTGGCTGGCCAGCGTGGACCCCCCAAGCCCACTGGCCTGACTGGATGTCCCGAGTCTGCAAACCCACCTTCTGAGGGGCGTTTCACCCCAAGACACTTGTGATAATGCAAAGTGCTCCTGGGAGGACCCCGTGCCAGTCCTCATCACCGGCACCTACCCGGCCGGACCAGAGGCAACACATGAGGCGATCCACAGCCTGCTCTACGACAAGCACGCCGCGGCTTGAGGCCTGGGCTCCAGTGAGGAGACGTCAGGCCCAGGTGTGAACACCCAAGAGGGTCCCTGGGCCCTGCTCCCATGCGGGGATTCAAAGACGAGGCCGACGCTTTGAAAAATATAAAACTTTAATAAAGGCTACATCTCTTAATTACAATAATTATTGTACCAAGTAATTTTCCTTAAATGAACTCTTTATAATGCATAATTTACAGTATAAGTAGAGCAAAATGCCATGACAAAAGTCATTGAGTACAAGACTTATAATAAAAAGGCATAAAATATATTTATACATAAACCCCTTTCAAAAAACAAGGGAAAGCTTGAGCCCTCAATATAGGGCGACACACGGAATGGGTCCCGTGAAGGTACAGGTACTGTACTGATTTAAAGTCAAGCACTAGAGATAGTGGATTTATACTCTTTTGCCGTACACTATATACACACGTATAGTACAGGTAACAATGGCAAACAGAATGTACAGATTAACTTAACACAAAATCCCGAACGTCAAAACAAAGGTGTCTGGAGGGAAGGTGCGCCTAGGTCTCCCCACAGCTGTTCGTTTCTCTGCGGGGAAGGGGGGTCGTTTCCTGAATGGCTGTGGCCCAAAGACTAACCCCAAAACCAAGAACCGCCATTTCCATAAAAACTTGAACCACAGGGCCGTGATCCTGGCCGGCCTCAGCCACTGACGGCGAGCCTCAGGGCGGTGACACGACATGGGGCCACAGGGAAGCCTGGGGCCCAGCGACAGGGCTCTCGTGTCCTCCAGGACGAACCACCCCCAAGACGTCAAGGGTGACGCAACATGGTCAGCACTCAAGACCCGGGACAGAACAGAGCAGCATAGGAAAAAAATGCACCAATTTCTGCGTGTGTCAATGGCAGGGACCATTCAAAAGTCTGCCTTCGCTTGGAGAAACGCAGTGCAAGCCCAGTTCCTCTTTCGAAGAAGAAACCATCACCGCACTCGTAGCCCAGCTCCTAGGTTCGGACAGAACACTCAGAACTTCTCTCTCCCCTTCCAAGTTTAAAGCAGCATATCCATAAACTGGGGTGGGGTCAACCGTTCGATAAATAGCAGTGGGGACTCTTGTTCAGGTGAGCGCACACAGCTCCTCTCAGCTTATCGACTTACATCCCTAGAAGCCACGCATTACAGATGGCAGTCTCTCTCACAGTTAGCTCCTCCAACAGCCAGAGTGGTCACGTTTGCAATAAATGGTTCAGGCCTTGCTTAGCTCAGTACCCAGCTCACGAATAACGAAAACACCCACCCGCCCCCACCCTCCTGAAGCCCACTGACCAATTCTTCCCTAGACTCTGTCTTCTTCATTGGTTTAGTTTTCCTTCAAAACGTTTTGGCGCAGTTGCTCCTGGCCAAGACAGGTCCCGAGAGCTCTGGGCTCTGTGGTTCACCACGGCCGGCCCCGAAGGTCAGTCGATCCGCTCCACCTTGCCCAGAATCCGGCCTTCGTACATTGGGAGCACCGTCTCATCGTCCCAGACCTCCTCAAACACCGCTCCACAGGCAAACTCATCGCTTGCTTTTTTGAAGTAATACCTTAAAAAGAAAAGCATAAAAGCCTCGCGGTAAATTGCGTTTTCCACCTTCACCATGCAAAAGAAAAAAGTATGCCAGCAAGGAAAACTAAGGTATCTCAGGAATCTGCTCCAGTAGGCGCACACGTAACCGCTGCCCGAACCGATTTAAGATGGCAACTGGGGTTGGCCAGACCACACAAAACAGGTGGGTCAGGAGGAAGGCTGGGCCCGGGCCTGCCACCGGCAAGCGACACTGAGGCTGCAGTCCTTGGCCCAAAACCCCTGTAGTCATCCCACACGTGCGGGCGCCTGCACACGCTGAAAGTAGAGGGGCTGCTTTCTCCTTCTTTTCCGTGGGGGGCAGGAGAAAGGGAAGGGCGAATGCCTGGAGCTCATGGGCAGGAGTAGCTGAAGAGGGCCCTCAGAGAGACCCAGCCCCGGCTTCAGGTGCCTCTAGCTTGAGCCTGTAACCTGCAGAGCCTGAACCTGCAGAGGCCGTAAAAGGTGGACTGCCAAAGAGCTGCTCGGTCCAGAGGCCTCTGGTCCATCCCGCCCTCCAGTGCCCAAGAGGCTCCTGGGTGGCCTGGCTGTCACCAGCAGGCAGGCCAGCCCAGCGAGCTTCTCAGGCTCCATGACACCCTCCCTTCTCCTCTCCCTTCCCACCCTCAGGGTCAAACACCAAAGGCCCTTCTATTATGCCTTTGATTAGAGCCTCCTTTTATGCCGCCCCAGCATGCGTTCTTCCAAGGCTGTTTAACTGCACAGATGCAAATGCCTGGCCTCTCTCAGGAGCGGCACATGGGGAAGCAGCTGCTGTCCTCTGCGGCCAGCCCACCCCACGTCCCTTCCCAGGAGATGCAGCAAGGGCCTCTTCCTTCCCCACCCAGCAAGGAAGACCCTCGGACGGATCAAATGCGTCCCTGCAAGCTGCCATTTCCAGCCCACAAGGACCACTCACAGGGGGAAGGTCACAGGCCCCTGGCGGGGGGGAGGGCCTCTAAAACATTCAATTGTGTCTCAGGGTTATAGTTGATTTCGGTTTTTTTCTCTTAAAAAAAACTTAACTCCCCTTGGTTAGAGCTGAATTTTTTCCCTCTTTAATGAAGGCAAGCCAAATACTTTCACAGGAGATAAGGCTAAATAAAGTGCAACAGCTGGGTTGAGTCAAAGCTCTTTGTTTCTCGCATTCTTGGCTGAGCTCAGGCATCAGGGTGAACAGCCCGGCTGAGAGGCTGAGAGGTCAGTGCCGAAGACGCTTGTCAGGGGCTCAGCATTCTGGGGGAGCCCAAGAGGAGACAGTAAGAAAACGGGGGAGGGGCTCTGCACCCAGGGACCGAAGCAGCAGGAAAAAGCCATCTTTCCACGTGAGAGGCTCAAACTCCCACGGCGCCTCGGTCCGGCCCCTGAGCCCAGGCTGCGACCCCTCGGGGTCCACCAAGCTGGGCTTTCACTGCATCTCTGGGCAAACACGCAATGACCTTTTCCATAATTGCAACCTCTTCCAGGGAGGAGAGAGGCAACATCCTCTCAGCCCCACCCCGGACTTCAAGCGCACGGCACTGCCCTCATTTTCTCCAAGAAACAGGCTTTTCCACTGCAACATGCTTTACGTGGCAAACTCTGCTTTCTTCTGACATCTGGCACCAATGGCGTCTGGCACGTCTGGAGGGACTGTTTGCTTTTTGAACCCCTGCCATGTTGAGATTACTCAGCGATCCCAGCTCCCCCAGCCCTGCTCACAGCCCCAACTCCCTGGGCTTTTTTATTTGGGGATGGGAGGGGGGTTCTGTGCACAAACTGAGATACTGAAATACCAAGCCCTGCTGGGAGGACCTGGCCGGACACCCGCGCCCCACCCGCAGGAAGGCACCAGTCCAGTCCAGGCCCTGAGATAAAGCAGCTGGGAGGGCCTTCCCACAGCCTGATCCAATCAGGAAAGAATTTGAGAGTCGGCCATTTGTGCAGGCTTTGTGCATTAAAGGGGAGGCCAGAGCTTCAAAGCCAGGCTTATTAAGTGTGCCTTAGGAGAGAAGAAAATCAGAGCCAGATGTGGCCAGTGGCTGAGCGAGGCGCCCTCCCTGCAAGCCTGTGCTCAGCGCCGCATGGCTCGTCTCCCCTGAAGGTCACCTGCAGTTCCACTCAAAGTCCAGCCAAGTCAAACCCGAGATCAAAATGAGTCCCCAGAGGAGCACACTTGTGTAGTTAGTCTCACCTTGTCTTTTCAGCACAAAGAAGAAAAAAAGAAGCCAGGCCTGTTCTCCCCCACCTTTGACGCCTTTTCAGAAGCGTCTCTGCCCAGGTGTGGAAGGAAAAGACCTGGGCCCAGCCACACACCCCGCGGGCCAACCATCCACAGGGTCTCGGCCCAGCCAATCTCCAGCTCTTCCCCTGCAAAAGGAATCACCCTTGGCCCCTGCCCCAACTCGCTCCCAGGTGGCGGAGGCTGGCAAAGCCACACAGGGCCCACTCTGGAAGGGAGGGTGTCTCAGAGCTCTGAGGAAGACTCGCCTGTGTCCAGGAGCCAGGGCCCACCTAGCAGGTTGCTAAGCGCCTCTCGCGGTTCACCACTCGCATCCCCTGGCTCCAGAGGCAAGAATGGGTTGACACCTACGGAGCACGGACTGTGGTCCTCTGCAGGGCCCAGGGCACACACCCGGGAGTGGCCCTCCCTCTCGGTGCAGATGTCAAGAGGGAGCACCTCCTTGACCTGGTGCCGGCCCCGCCTCGCTGTCCTGGCCGGGCGCCCACAGCCTGAGATGCAACGGAAGCAGAACCCACTGCTTGTTCCCTGGGACGAGGACCTCGGAGAAGGGGAAGGGGCGGCAGGACGCGGGGGGAGCCGGCGAAGTCGCCACTGCTCCTCATTAAGAAGCAAGGGATGGAAAGATGGCCGGGGCTGGCCTTCTTCGCCCTCTGCTGTTCCATCCCCTCAAGGGTGCTGTGGGCCCTTCTCAAGGGTTCCGCTTCGCTACAGATGAGGTCGAGGCTCAGAAGTTAAGTTCCCTTCCAAGACCCCTGCAGGGGGGAGCAGGCAGTGGGGCCCGGGCCCAGGCCCAGGCCCAGGCCCAGGCAGGAAGAGTGGCCAGCCCTATTCACCCTGTGCCCACCCACAAGTCCGGCCCCTCCTTTGTTACGGACAAAGGCACATCCCAGCTTCACATGACCCGCAGAACCCAGGGAGGTCCTCTTCAGGCAGAAAAGCAGACAAAGAAGAACGCGGCCATTTCCCAGCCACAGTCTCTGCCCTTTCCCGAGCGTGGAGGTCTCTCTCCTCAACCCAAACCAGGACAGAGGTGCCCCTTCAAGCCCCGTCCCCAGCGCAAGCCCCTCCCTCCCCTCCCCTGGCCCAGCTCTCCTCCTGACAGAGCACACGGCTGCTCCTTTTCTCTCCAGTCTTGCTCACTTGACGGAAGAAGCTGGGGCAGGTCCCTCCCTCTTGCAGCGGCTGCCGGTCATGCGAGGGGAGAGGAGGCGAGCCCCTGAACCTCCCAAGGCCCTCCCTGCCAGCCCCTCCCAGGTCTGCTCAGGCCAGGGGAGCTGCCCCCCGCTCTGGCTCCGGGCTCTGACACAAGCTCTAGAGCAGGAAGAAACCACAGGACTCTTACCTGTAATTTCCCTTTTTGCTGAGCTGCTCTTTAAAGTGGCCCAGGGTCAAGCTCTGAGCCTTCAGCATCCTCCTGTACGGAATTTCTTCCCCACAGAAAAAGTAAGTGACGACCAGCTCGCTGGCCTGCAGTGTGTGGACACCGGCCAGCTTCTTGGGCTCTTTGTGACTGAAAGTAGATGGAATGCAACAAGTTCAGCATTTTAAGGCAGACACACATCTAAGGCAAGCACACACACACACAGACACACACACAATGTATGTGCAAAAAGCAGGGCATCCCAACACTGAGGCTGCCGTCGTAAGCTCAAAGGGAGGCAGGGCAGGGTGCCCACATCACAGGCGGCCACCTAGAAGACACAGTCTGACCCCACACCAGCTGCACGGAGCGGGCAGGGAGGAATGACTTCCTTTTGGTTTAACAAAATTCGCTCCCCGCCCTGCCACCAAGCGGAGGCACAGGCAGCCTCTCGAGTCAGCGTAAGCAGGGCGCTCTTCCACGAAGATGACAGACGAGAAGACATCGCAGCAAAGGGGGCTCACCCTCGCCAGGGAAGGCTGCAGACACAAGCCCAGGGCTGGAGCCCCTCCCGAGATGGCGTGAGCACCAAGGCCCGAAGCCCACCCACTGGCCGGCAGAACAAATGCAGCTAAAAGGGCTTATCCCGAGTCATTTCAACGTCCCCATTTATTCTGAGTTTTCACAGAGTGGCTTGAAAAACAAAAAGCTGCTGGCCCAGACAGCTGGTGGACCGAGGGTCAACCAAGTAAAACAGCGAAGGGTCCTGCGAAGTGGCCTATTCAGGACTTCAAACACTGCTCGCTGCCCAGGACGAAAACTTTCTTTAGACCACCTTCAGTATCTTTAACAGGTTTATTTTTAATTACACCATCCTCTAAGTAAACTGAGCGGGCTCCTCGGTCCACTTTGCAAAAACAGAAAATTACCAGAAAGAATTGTTGCCTAATTTAGGGGAAGATAGTGTCTTCTCCAAGCCTCTCCCTCCAGGCAACACGTCACCTTCCCACTCGGGTGACCTGAGATGTCTCTGGTCCTGCCAACTCACAAGTTGAATGGGGCAACTTTTCTATCCGGATGTGGAGTCCCTTTGACCCATCTGACTTCATGTCCCAGCTTTTGGTCTCTGCATGCCCAGAAAAACTCTCGCTTGATACATTTCTCAGCACGAAAGGGTTTTCCAGGGATGGCACATCTGCATCCCCAGCACTGAAAACTAAGGTAACTGTATACGGCAGAAAAGTTCCACAAAACACAACTCCAGGTGGTGAATACCCTGAAATGTAAATCACTCGGCAGATCTCAGCAATGCCAAGAAAGACACTCACTCTTCTGGAGCCAGGCTTGGGTTGGAGAAGGGCGTGGCTCCCGCCGGGACAGGGGCCAAGTGATTCCTGTCCCTCTGCTGACTGACCATGCAGCACCTGAGGACACAGCCAGGGCGAGGGATTTAGAGGTGTGCTGTCATCCCCAGAGCAACTAGGGAGCAGACAGAAAGTTACTCTCAGGCCTCCTGGAGAGGCACGGACCCGACGTCCACCTCTGTGGAGACCCAGCCACAGGTGGGCTGGAGGAGGCGGGACAATGTCCCAGCAGCAGCCACCTTAAGTTTCTCTGGGAGCCTAGGACAGGACACTCCCAGCCCCAGCGAAGGGCTCAGACTTTTGATTCTCCACGGTCATGGCCTCTCACACACTCACCTAGCCAGCCTTAAATTACCAAGACGTTTATAAGGAACGGGATTTGCAGCTGGGCTTGGTGGCTCAGCTTGTAATCCCGGGCTTTGGAAGGCTGAGGTGAGTGGATTGCCTGAGCCCGCTGGTTCGAGACCCGCCTGGGCAACTTGGCGAGACCTCATTTCTATAATTAAAAAAAAAAAAAAAACAAACAGCCGGGCGTGGTAGCGCATGCCTGTAATTCCAGCTACTCGGAAGGCTGAGGCGGAAGGATCGCTGGAGTCCAGCAGGTCAAGGCTGCAGTGCCGGGAGCGGCCACTGCACTCCAGGCTGGGCGACAGAGTGAGACTCCAACTCAAAAAAAAAAAGGAATGGGATTTGCAAAAAAAAAAAAAAAAAAGAAAGAAAAGAAATAAAAATCACTGAAATTCATTCTCCTGCTGCCAAACATAACTTGTCTATGTAGATTCTGGTCTAACCCTGGCAGAATGAATGTTCACTATAGGGAGTAACTTTTAGAAGCTGGAAAGGGGAACCTTACTTGTCCAGAAGCAATCCCTGCTCCCCGGAGATTTCAGAGCAAGGCGGAAAAGAACGGCCTCCCTCCCCACCAGCGACAGAGGAGAGCGCCCCCCACCCCCATCCCCGCGCTAACCTCTGGCCGCCCCCACTCCACTCACCGCTGCTTCGGGGGCTTCGACACCTCAGCCAGCCTGCGGCAGGCCTCCTCCAGCTGAGCCAGAGTGTTGGGTGGGGTCAGGAGAGGCATTGAAGGGTCCTGGGCGAACGGGTGGGCACGGGGGACGGTGCGGGGGTGCCCGCTGCTGCCCCCCCACAGATGGTGCCGGCTGGCTCGTTCGCCGGGGGGCGCGCGGGCAGACTCCAAGGCGCAGGCCTTTTTGGCGCTCTGGGCACTGCACAAGGAACACGGATTAAGAAAGCAGAAGGGAAAGCCGGGCTAGAAAAAGCGGAAAATGTGACTTGGGCAGGAGCTTGCCATTCCGCTCAGAGAGAGAGGAGGAAAAGGCCACGACCAGAACAGAGCGGGGTCGCTGCCAAAAGATGACACCTCCGTGCTCGGCTCCGCCCAACGTCCAACACGGCACGGAAGGAGCACACAGCCCCGCCCGCTCTCCGCTGGCTGCCAGACAGCCACCCACCCGCCTCGCCCCGTCCCC